GAAAATTCCAGCCGACGCAGATATGGAAGCTCCTTAATCGCAGTAGCGAGGATCACTTCCCGCTCGTTGGATGGTTCTGCACTTCCATCGTGATCAATATCTTCTGAAGCGACATGCAACAGTCGTAACTCGCGCAAGCCCCGGAACGCCTGGTCATAATGTTTGCCGAGAAGGAAGGGAATGAGTTGCTTCGCTTCCATAAACCGGCTGTTCCAATCCCAGCTGCGCAGGTGTATCAAGCTCGCATTGATCGATTCGAATAGACTCTCGGGATAGACCCATTTAGATCGTTGTATCTGCCATGGAGCGAGACCCACAATGAAGTCATCTTTGTGATACAGCCGCACTTTCTTTACTTGAGGTGTCTTTTCGAGAAGCCTAGGGAGTTCAAAATAACCGAGCGTTGGTCCGCTTTTGTGGAGCAACAGGGTCTCCACGTCGACGTGCAACTCTTGGATCTTATTTCTATAGTTGGTTGAAAGTGTCTCCTGCGGCTGACATAGCAGGTTGAGCAAAGCATGGCATTTGATAGGTATCAGAGGCGGAGAATGGTAGAGGGCTGACAATGCTGGCTCATGAAAAGCGCGGCACAACAGCGCAACACTCACAAGCCATTGCGTCGAACTGTTTCTAGTTGTCGTCTTCTCATCCATCAGCGGAAACGATGCACGGAAGAAGATGTCAAACAATATGTGGTACGGAAGGGTGTGCCAGGGTGGTATGACTCCAGAGCCGACCGGGAGCATGTCATCTGCCTGAACTTTTGGACGCTTGTTGAGAGGTCTACCCAATTCCAGGCGGTTCTTGGCAGGGGGCCTTTTGGACCTGCTAGTCTGGGACCTGGTTTTCACCGTGCGATTGCGTTTAGGCCGGGAAGATGTGCCATTGCCAGCAGATTGGGGAAACGGATAGGTGTATCGAGTTGGAGCTTCAACGGGCACGACCGCTGAAGGGTCCTCGTTAGAAGATCGCTCAAAGTCATCATCTGTAGATTCCTCGCGATAAGAAACGGGGGCTCTATTTGAACTGCGTGGACGCAGCGAAAGAGACATTCGTCTAGATCGTTCCTGATCAGAGTCTGTGTCTTCATCCAGTCGATCATCTGAACTGCTATCCTCAAGATATGATTGCACTCGGGTACGACTAGTGCGAATAGGACGGGACAAGCTAGATGTCCTCTGACGGGATGAGCGCATTGAGGAAGACATGATTGCGTAGAGTAGTATCCGCCCTAACTTCAGATAGAAGGTCGGGACGGCAGCAGATAATACATGGCCCACCTGCCCGTCAGTTCCTCAACACCGGAAGTTCAGATACCACTGAGGACGCAGGGGCTAGCATCATGCGTTAGTAGACTGGACATCAACAGTGGAAATAACTGAATGAGCGACGATTGAATGAGATGGACTAGGAATGGCCTCAAGAGGCTGAGAGGAAGAGAGGAAACGATGAGGTCAGTCGGTGTTGCCGTTCGATTATCGCCCTTGCAGAGGTTTTATCGATAAGAGAAAATCAGCACATTCTTAATGCCTGAGGCCATAATCGGTCAAATGTGGCCTAGTGGTGCATGTGACAGCAGCCAAAAGGCCCAGGCACCCACTCCCCCGCCCCGATGGCCACCATGCTAGTCCAAAACGGGTAACAAGCAGAATCCCGAAATAGAAACAGTCAGCGGCCTCTCTTTTAAGGCGCGAATCGTCCAGCCACTCCATCTCTCCTCTTCCCCCCCGTTCCAGGTCGGGATGATGGCGTTTACATGTCCAGACTTGAAATCCTCGTCTCATCGATATCAATGCTGAGTATATATCTGTAAATTGTTCACTCCTTGTTGACATATAAGGCAGCATATTTATGCGCTTGATCTGGGCTGGTCCCTGAGCTACAGAATTCGACATCATAGCATTTAGCGCTCAATTATTCGCATTTGAGCTTTGGCATTTTGGGTGGATCTACTACCAATGCAAATGACTCCGGACTGTCTATCCATACTCAGATCCCCTTCAAGCGTTCAGAATTCGGAACCAACAAGTCCTTGTTTCCGTTCGTCTCAATCTGTTGATTACTTGCAATGGAAAGCTCTTTCACCAGTGTGATACCACAGTCGGAACCGAATGACATTGGAGGAACACCGGTAGTTATCCAGCAGTATGCGAGATACTCGTCTACGTTGGAGCCAGGGTTACAGAGTGGCTCTTCGTTAGGGAGCGCCCGCAGTCGGTTAGGGGCGTCAAAGTCTCCTCCCCTACATCGCAAAGCGACTCCTCGCAGTCTGCAATCTTCCCCTACTGGGTTACGGCCAGTTGCGCCTGCGACGTCAGCTACGCGCTCAGGACCGTCGATGTCTCCTCCAGTTTATGATACCGTTCGCCAGCGACAGGCTAGGGACCCAATGGATCAGGCGGTCTCGCGGGGCTTGCCCTCTCGCGATATTAGAGATGAAACTATCGACGATGCTTACGTGGCGTTCATTCTTTATTGTAACCCAAACGTTCCAATGTCTGCAGACACCACCGAGCTTCGAAAGACTTTCCGATCTCCGCCTAGAAGCGATGGCAAAAGCTTCAGCATCTTCACCCTCTGGGAGCTTATTCGGAAGCTGGATAATAAGGAGCTGAAAACATGGATTCAGTTGGCAATCGAGCTAGGCGTAGAACCCCCTTCGGCGGAGAAGAAGCAAAGTACGCAAAAGGTTCAGCAATATGCGGTGCGACTCAAGGTTCGTTAATTTGCGCTCGGCCAAAGATGTCACGAAGATGCTAATACCTAATAGCGTTGGATGCGCGCAATGCATGTAGACGCTTTTTTCGAATACTGCCTTGGCCATCCTCATCCGTACTACACCCAGCTTCCGGCCTCTAACGCCGCGGTCAGTGACACTCGCGACGGCGTACCGCTAGAAGAAGACCTTGCCTTGCGTGCGCTTGTTCCTGAGTGGAAACCGAAACGTGGGCGCAAACGGGCCGACGAAAGGGAGCAAGCTAACGAGAAGTCGGCGAAACGACCTCAGCTGGATACTTCTGTGGGGGTATTGCAGGCGGGTTCATTCGCAGATCAGTCTGCAACATTTCCGCAGAGCGCCATCCCATTCAGTGCTTTCCCTGACAACGATCCATGGATGACCGCTGCATCGTCATTCCCAGCTGATGGATCTACTGACAACCAGCAAGGCCAAGAGCTTCGGTGGAGACCTCTAGAGCGAGACGCATCGCCTGCTGGATATCCACAGTCAGCGATAATTCCACGAGGGCATCATCCGTCAGAAGTTCTTCTGCCAACGGCAGAGCCACGCTCGGCGATCGATCCGTCCTCTGGTGAAAAGTCGCGATCTCGGAGGCGGCATGGTCCAGCGGTTTCTTCTGCCTGGCCTAACAGCAATGCATCGATCACAGGGAAGACTCGGGGTAGGCCTCCGCAGAGAGGCGTTGTCTCTGGTCCATTCTCCACGTTTCCGGTGAATCCTAGTCGGACTGATTCCAGGCAAAGTCAGGGTCCGGGGTCAAGATCTTCGCCTGCTATTGTGGTAGACCAGAATTCCACGACTCGCGCAGACTCCCAGTATCAACAGTCGCCCACTCCTTTCCCTCATGCGACTGCTAGACCAAACAAGCTTCAGTTACAAGTTCCACAACACTTAGGCGGACCTGTCCGCCTTGCCACACCACCGACGCTAATGGTCAATGGAATGAGTACTCCGTCTGCCTCCCTTAAGGTGGAACCTAGTCATCGGAACGGCTCTACCGCTCATTCAAGTGACTTTTTCGGCGGAAGTACTGCACAGAATGTCATGCCGCATACGAATACCAATTCTCTGTCTGATAACAACGCGACCTTGGACATTAGCCTTGAAGATGTTGCCCGTGTCCTCTCGGACGAGCTACTCCGCGCGAAGCTCACAGGCAGAGCAGTACCTCTGAGCGCTGAGGAGGCTCGTGCCTTGGCATTCTCCATCCTGAGGCGTTTGAGTGCTAACTACATACGACTTCCCTCGGGGCTGTCGGCTCTTGCGTCAGCTCTTTACCTCGGGCTTGGAGCGCATTTTGGCTTTACCAACCCCGTCCCGAGCTCCATGACGGTGAATGTTGAAAGAGTGCCCATAGCTGCTGGGGAAGGTCCATCGATGGCGGCCGATAGGACGTCGTCCAATTTTATCTATACGATTTCCCATGAATACAGACACGGTTCTCAGTTCTCCACAAAGGTCGTCTACAGTGATACCGGCATCTCGAATATAGATGTCGGTAAACCTGAGGGATCGTCACGAATGACGGAGGATATGGACAACAGCGTTATTGAACTTGACAGTATGACCGATGCGGAATACGAAATCGATGGTGCAGAAAGCACCGCGTCTGAAATGACATGGAAACAACGTTACATGAAATTGCGAGCACAGATGCAGAAACGGGAGCGGTCGCTGTCCCAATACAAACGCAAGATTCTCGAGTCTGTGATGGCAGACATATAAATACGCCGACGGGCTTGCCCTATTCTGAGTCGGCTTGCGCCAGCGCGATGTTAATTCGTCTGCATATGACATCTGAACACTTAATGATACCCTTGGTTTTCACCTTTTGATGCCACCTGGCCTTTGTTTCCAAGTCGATACTTTGACATGTTATGGGTGTCATCTACAGTAGTCGCGATCTTGTGACGCTGGGTTTTGAAGTTTGATTTGTGTTTTAGATACCCCTTGTGCAAATGATACGCTTAAAGATATGACACGAAACTTTTCAACTCGGCGTAGAACATATGAAAGCATAAATAGTGCTTCGTATTTCCTCGATGATCTTTGAGAACTGCTCGCACCATGAAATATGACTTAATGCGAAATACCAACTTGCAAGTCAACTAATCGAGAGGCCAATAGAAGAAACCAAATGTCCAGCCTCCAAATCGCGTAACAAGAAATCATTCTGCAACAGCAACACGCGGCGAAAACCAGAGAATCAAGCTACCTCCTCAGTCTCCTTGATCACACCACGACCGTCGCCCTCGGAGGTTCAAAACTGGTCAAACAGCGTCTTACCATCGACAGCAGTCGTATCAGCGTCAACGCCTTGAGCCTTCTCCTCTTCAGCATCGGACACCTCTTCCTCCTTCACAGGGCTCAATCTCTGCTCAATCATTCTGTGTGCGCTCTCAAGGACACTCTCCTTCAACACCCGGGCTTTCTTGGCTCTGACCTTGCTACTCTCCCCTGCAGGCTTGCGCTTCGCGGGTGAACTCGAATTCGAACTCTCGCCCGCCTCCTTTGCTTTGGACTTCTTAGGAGGACCAGCATTGGCAGGTTTGGGTTTCTTGGGGGAAGAGTCTGGAGAAGCTGCTGCTGTGTTGAGTTCGGATTCGGTGGTGGTTGTGCCCGTGTTCGCTGCTTCGTTGTAGGCCTTGAGCAAGCATTCGTAGCGTTTTGCGCTGGTGGATGGTTAGTTCTGGGGGTGGGAACTCTTTGGGAAGTGACTGTCACGTACGCAGCTCCTCTGCTGACGATGTTGCATGCTTTGGCGACTTCGTTGAAGTCGACCTAGGATCTGGTTAGGAGGTTGGGGTACCGAGGTGAGGGGAACTGGGCTTACCTTGCCGCTGTTTGAGTAGCGGATGCAGCTTAAGAGGAATTGGACTGTTTCGTCGGGGTTTGCGGGTGCCATTTTGATTGTTGGGTCCGATGGGTTGGTGTTTGGATGGTAGGTGTAGGTATGGTGTTCTAGTTCGGATGGTATATGGAGAGAGGTGGGGAAGTTGTCGAGAGGAGGAGTCTGTAGAGAGAATAAATAGAGCGAGGAGCTAGAGGGAGTGACCTCGAGGATTCGAAGATCGTCAGAGGTGAGTGAGAGGTGTTATGAAAGGCAGATCGACATAGGGCCCGAAAGGATAACGAGATGGTCAAGGAGGCGTGATGCCGGAGATGAGTGAATAGGTGAAGTAGGCCAGGTCACTTATTCTGAGCTTCTGAAACAGTCAGGAGACAAAGCGACTTGCTTCCCAAGTGTTTCTATGCTATGGTAAATAAGTATTGAAGTAGGGGATGTATACCCGGAAGAGTCTATTGTTTTCAAGTTGGACTCGCGTCTGTGTGATGCCTCTATCGAGGGTGTATTGATTAGCGACAGGTCTTGGATGAGCTCTTTACAGATTCTTCATATGCTATCGAACAGTCATAAATGAGCTGTCATTGTTTTCTAACATGATGGCACCTATTCTAGACCTAAGGACGAGTTCCAAACAAATTTAATGCTTAGAACTTCTCGGTAGGGAGATAGTGCCACAAAAAGAAATATCAAGGCTCAAATCAAATCATCGTTTTCTCAGCTTATTGCTCATATCCTCCAGAATCCCAATTTTTACCAGTTACCAGCAATGGCTGTTTCCATCCTAAGCCCTAAGGTGTTCGTCACGGCGATCCGAAAGGTGGAAGAGCGTGCCAGTTTCGTACCTACACTATCAGTCATGGTGTTGCTTTATATGAGAAGACGGCGTAACAACTTACAGTAGCAAGGCTCTCTGCAGGTCTTTAAGCTTCGGCTTTGACAGCCTCACCATCCCCCATCTTCACGTCTCCGTTGTCCTTCTTGACTGGAATCTCGACGGACTCCATGACGGCGGCCTCCTGGGCGACTGCCAGCTTGCCCTTGCCTCTTGGACCACGCTTTCCGGCAGGCTTCTTTGAAGGAGAGGCAGAGCCATCGGCGCTCACCGGACCAGTGGCGGGAATCGGCTTTGAGTTGACCTTGGCTCCCTTGCGTCCAGCAGGCTTGCGAGCGGGCTTGGAAGGAGAAGACTGGACGGTCTCGCCGGAAGAAGAAGCATCCTCATCGCCCGCAGTACCATCTTTGGCAGCCTCGGCAATAGCACCAACTTTGCCGGCCTTGGTAGGGGTAGAGGAGAACTTGCACTCCAGGTTTGGGAATCCATAGCGCTTGCTCAGGTTGCGAAGACGGTTGCGGGCTGATAGCACGTTGCTGTACTTAAAGACAGTGGCAACTTTACCGATGTCGACCTGACGCTTTGTTAGGGTATTGCAGCTCTGTAGAGGATAAGAATGTGAGGAACTCCGTTGACTGACCTGCTTAGATTCATTGAGATTCTTGAGGCATTCAATGATGAAATGGGCATCGGCACTACTGATGTCCCCACCGTTGGTCTCGGGGTTGGTGGACATTTTCAGTGAGATAAAAGTACTAATAACTTTTACGCACGTCTTTGGGAAAGGCAACAGAATTTTCAGGTAGTGAGAGTGCCTAAAGGGAAAGTTGAACGAGATGACGTAGAGACAAGGGAAAGTGTGATATGGGTTATTCAGGTTGTATGAGGATGAGAACAAAATGAGATCACAGATGTAGAAGAATGTGATAGGGAGTGATAGCTAGAATGAAGAAGAGAAAAGAAGAGGAGACACGTACACAGCACGTTATTGATATTAGCACGCCGAGAGGTAGGGGTGATGATCGTTACGGCAACACAGAACTGAGTCCAACTGTGATTGAATTGAGATATCAATGATGCCGAGGAATGGCCAGACAGCATGTAAAATAAGGCCCAGAGGCTCATAAATCGATACTCACGTCAAGTCAATCATAGGGACAGTAGACTGTCTCTATTCTTCATTCCGGTCTATGTCTGTTGGAAGAGACTGTAAGACACGGTTCTGATATGACTCCGGAGCCCAAACAGAATGTTAAAGAGGCCCGATGACAGGACAGTCAGGATTCATGGTTTCAAACTTCAAAAGATAGTAATAGTAAATTAGCTAGTCTACCTTCATTGGAAAAATCGGGCCAAAGAAGACAATTGCAACGCCAATCCTGTCAGGTCCTATGTCCATTTCACACATCAAGTATCAAACAAACATAAGCCAAGCATCTTAACGCCTCACCATAAGTCATGCAACAGATGTTTTATCTTCGTCACGAATCCGATCATCTACTCTCCTCCAGCCTTATCGAATACTCTCCTACTGTTCCTTCTGGGGCAGTTCAACTTTCACCGGAACGTTATTCGCTTTGCCTCCGGCTTCCAGCTCGGGTTCACGCTCAGGCTCAGGCTCGGTCTTGATAGGAGCCCATGTGCTTGGACCGGCCTGCTGATGAAAGGCCACAGGCGGCGAGGGTGGGAAAGCAGGAACAGGCGCATACATGGTCAAAGTTCCCGGTGCCGCGGTGAGTGGAGTGTACGGAACCATCTGCGGCTGGACAGGCTGCGGATGCATCACTTGAGTCGAAACATGAGGAATGTCTGCTAGATTCTGGACTTCATGACCGTATGGGTCAACCTTGATGTAAGGGTTTGATTCGTACGCAGGACCCGCATTTTCTTGCTTCACTGGGGGTTGAGGGGAGCCCTTGTCCTTCAGCAGATCGGCTTTGCTGGCAACTCCTTTGCCAGTCTTTGCGGAAGTCTTCTTGGGGCGAGAGGAGCGCGGTGTAGATGTAATTCCTTCCATTTGCTGCCTAAAGCGAGAGTAACGCATCCGAGCAGCGTGGCCGTTGGAGATCTCAAGCTGCGACGCAACGAGGTTCCAGTCAATCTGTGGAGGCACATTGTTAGCTGCAGTCCACACTCCTGGGAGTGCAAGAGGAAGAATAGTCGACTCACAGATTTCAAGTCCAATTGCTTGATAATTGTGTAGAGAAATTTGGCAGTAGGGCCATCGGTTGGCATCGCCTTGCTCCGTCTGACGGTCGACATGGCTGACTTGGGAGTGAATGGTTTACTGATGAGAGAGGTACCAAGCAGAAAGCCTGCAGTAGAAGGTCAAGTTGTGCTTGGGATTTTGGGATATTGAGATTGATGGAGGAAGATGCACTCTCTTGCACAGACGTTGGATATATAAGCCTCTGGTATTGGATTTAGCCCAACAGAAGAAAATGCTGTTGTTGTCCGCCACAACGGCTTCTTGCAGCAACAAAGAAGGAAGCAATAAACAAAGCAGGTGGAGTTGACTCTTTGGAATTCTAGCCGAATTGATACCCAGGGAGTAGTTGGCGGTTGTAGCTATAGAATCTCCCCACAAATAAGACTCCCAATCATGAATCTGGTTTCTCATTGATGAAGTCAATCACTTGGCTTTGAAGGATAAATTCTCTGCATAGACATCGGAGAGAATACTACCTCCCATTCTGAAATTATTTAACATTTCGGTCATGTCTCATGCTACTGACATGAAATCATTCCAATCCTTCTGGATCGCATTCAAAAGAGTTGGTGTATGTCCAAACAGGACAGCCTTCTTTGTGATCGCGGCATAATATTTCCAAGACAAAGATGGATGCGCAGCCCACCTTACGGAATCCACAGGACTTTTTTAGCAGTCATCTTACCGTCGCCAATGGCTTCAGACACAATGAAGGATGATGGCGGCTGGTCCATGTGTTGCAAGGAAGACAGGATAGACCTGTCATGCCAGTTTGATCCCCACAATGCTTATCAATGTGACAGGTCAGATTCTGTAGGTTAGGTTGGAATCTCTTCAAAATTCCACTACAGGAAAATCATCCATTGCACATGCTAACAGGGTGATCTCAGGCAAATAGACTCACTGAGTACGGTTTAGTTTCCAGTCGGTAGCACACAATCTACCTCTCCGTCAGGACAGCCGGGATCTATTCTAGTCCTCCAGGAGCTGAAGACTATGGCAGCGACCACACATGGTTCCTGCAGCTTCGGCTCCGCTAATTTGTATCAGTCTCGAGCTAATCCTGCATCTTGGATTGCTTTTTATTATAGCATCTTCGACCGTGGTATCGGCACGCGTCCGCGTCTTAAGACGCGTGATGGCCATTAAGCTCTTTTTGAACCGGGTATAAGTACTTGAGCTGGTGGTTTATTCCATCGTTCCTTTGAAACTTCAAGTTCCTCCATTCAGTTATCGTTGCTCCGATCTCCAACCGCCTTCCTGTCTCTTAAAGGCCGCTCAACCTGAGGCCTTGTCGAGCCTTGATTGGCAACATTAAACAATGCCTACATCTCGCATAAGATGGGACGACTGGAAGGACAAGGTGATGCTAATGGCAGTGTTCGAGCAAATGAACATGACCTCTCCCGACTTCAAACGTCTCTCCAAAGTGATGTGTGGAGATTACAGTGCGGACGCTCTGAGGTATGACCGTCATTCAATGGACGTCCACGAGCGAGGAATGCTAATAGGTGCGGCCGAACCTACAGAAACCGCTTCAGGGCACTCAACAAAGAGGCTGCGGCTATCTTGCGTGATCGCCAGCGCCATGCCGAATCGCGAGAAATGACAGACGACACTCTTCCCATGATGTCCGGAGCCATGAACGGATCAGACGAGAATGATGGACTGGTCGTCCGAGAGGTTGCGCTACGAAGCGAGCTTACGCCCCCTCCGAGCGAGCCGTCCCCCAGCATGCAATCGAGGCGCTGCCCTCAACAGACACAGAGAGTCATGCCGGAAGTTATCACACCGAACTCTCAGCCTTCCAGCATTGGTCGCCACGCACAGAGCAACGGCGTACAATACCAGCAGCACACGAGTTTGGACTACGATCCAAATGTGCACCCTGCACGCCGTCCTCAGTGCTCCCACGAAGCAACCTCCCCGGCTCGTCCGTACAACCATCCTCGCAGCTCTCCTCAAATACCGTCAGGCGGACGTAACTTTCCTCGTGGACAGCAAGAGCGAGGCTGGGATCAGACTCTCAGGGCCAGGAATACTGGCGGAAGGCCTTTCAAGCCGCCGCGAAATAAAAACAACCGTCAGCGCAATATTCCCCAGATGACCCGAGTCGAAATTAATCATGGACCTGTACATACCAAATTTTAAAAGTGAAGCATTTGCGTCTTGATGCATGTATAGAATGTTAGCGATGAATTTGTTGCGATTAATGATACTCTGCTTGCATAACTCAGGGGATATTTTGAGATCATATTTTCTGGCTTATGTTGATTCTATTTAAGCTCATTTGATGCGAGTCAGCCCTTTACCTGTCTATATCATCACCTCCTAGACCTGCTTTTCGAGAGCATGAACGGGCAAATTGCCAGTCTTTTGCAGGCCGTGCTGCTGGAACATGACATTTATAAATAGTCCACTCAAGAGTATAAGGGATTATTTTTTCCAAATAGCACTCAGGAATCACTGAAGTGAATACATCTTCATCATGATGTTAGGGCTAGACGGAGGAAATATATTCCGACATGATATATTAGCACAGTGGATCATCGCTGAAGTTCATATCTTCTCACTACTTCTACTTTTATTGCTTTGATGCAACCTTGAATATGCACTGCAGTGTTATCTCTACTAGCGAGAAATTGTTGTCTGGATACCTGTTCAGCTAAGTGATTCTAGTGTAGTTGACATGCAATGCCCCAGCACAAGAATATTTGAAGAGAGGGAAGTCTGGTCAAAAAGATAGGATCTCGGAACTGTAAGTGGGATATTGTGTGTTTTTCCTTAATGGACTTGTTCCCGGATGACAACAGTTGACACCACTTCCTAGGGTTATGAGATGCTAGTCTGATCTGAGCGAGAGACATGGTTCAGTAAAACAGGGAGAAGAGCTCCGTAAGAGATGGTCTATGATATGCTATCTACTATCTCTCTATATCATTATTCCTGCCTGAGCAAGGAGGGAAAAAGAGGGGAATGCAGTGGTTAAAGGGAGCTGACTGGGTCTCAGTGAATCCCAGCATGGTCATGGGCCAGTGATCAACTTAGGCTAAAAGATATCCCTGATGCCAGCAATGCGGCTGCGCATGGGAATAGGGCTGGTGAAGTGCCCTACTATACAGCCCACGATGGAAAATTTCCATGCATTTCTCTCGGCGCTGGTTATTTAAACCAAGCTGGGCGTCTTCTGCTTCTCTCTCTTTCAAATACTCAACTATCATATCATAGCAGATCTTTGATCGTTCACAACAAATCATTTGAAAGATTGAATATCACCAACCGCCAATACAAACAATGGTATCTGCTAAGAGAAAGGGTCTAGAAGGCGAAGATGACAGCGCCAGTCATCAGCAGAAGAAGGCGCCTGGCAGAAAGCGCGGTGCAAAGAAGCCAAAGACTCAGTCATCTGCCCCCGCCCAAACTACCTCAGCTGCTGCAGATGGTTCTGTGTTGCCCCAAACCCACGCATCTGTTGCGTCCAGTGATCAGGAGTTGCAGACCCCAGAAACCCCCACCCCACAACCTTCCAAATTTTGGACCAACGAACTTAGGATCGCCTTGCTTGTCGCCGTTCTGAAGGAACTCGATCAGACGATCTCGGAGAAGACCTGGCACCAGGTTGCTGAAACCCTCAGACCAGTGAAGCCTAACATTTCTTGGAATGGCGCTCGGTAAGTCTTGTTTTCTACATTGGGTGAACACCTCACCTTGACTCATCCTCCCTCCCGAGAGTTCATCCGCTCTCGTGGACAGATTCTACCCTCTCTGTGACCATCCTTCGTGACCTGAGATTGCTGACAGAGTGAAAGCTTGGAGGTCGGCCGTCTCAAAAGAGAACATTTCCCCAATACTACGCCCGCACCGAGCGGCCAACATAACCAGCTGGCTCAAAACTCGAAGGACGAAGACTAAGAGCCCGACGCAGTAACTCCCTGCAATTGGTAAGTACATCTCGATCTGACGGCGCATCTAACCCTCCCCTGACATGTAATGGCCAGGCAAAGCCTCTCATCACGTTGAGGATACCTTGTGAGCAGCTTGGTCATCGCCGTTTCCCTCGTCCCACAGTGTTTTACCGACAGAAAAGGGCCATCCAGGCGATGATGGTTGGGAATAGTTATGGAGGAGACAATATTTTGCACGACTCCTAGTTCTTGGCTTTGTATTTTGATGTCCGTAGCTTGTTAATTGAAGTCCCTTGTCTACTTCGTCTTTTTTATGTACTACCATAGCCATGAGGCTGCGTCAAAACGTATATGAAATGTTAGATTCGCAGATACTAAGTACTTGGAAACCCGGATTTACCATTTTCTATCGCAGCAGCTGCCATACTGTCGATGTCGTCGACGCTGACGATGTCGCCTGTGGGGCATGACTAATATGCGAATCGACAACTTCTCCCCAAACTCTCAATTCTCTCCCACACGCCGGTAACTGCAGTCTCCTTTCTGCCAATTGAGAGTATTAAACGTAGCGTTGTTTATCTACTAAAGTCTGGGAACATGTCGTTGGTTACAGTAGGTGCATGCTATGTTGACACAATCTTGACGTTGGTTGGAAACTCGTCCCCGCATCTTCTTGACAAACCAACACCAGCTTACCATCAATGCAGAACTCCTCACTACCCGGGAGAAGACGAGAAGTTGCGTGCTTCTCGTATCTCTCATCGCCGCGGAGGAAACTGTCCGAATACCTTGGAGGTGCTGCAGCAATTGATAGCACACAGCAAGACAACCTCAAAGGTCTCGCTGAACCTTGTCGCAGTTCTGCCCGCGAAGGCATCCGTTGCATCGCAGCAGGTCCTGGCAGGCTTTGGACCTGGAGTCCAACTCGAGCATTGCATCTATCGTGAACAATTCAGTGAACCGGCATCGAGTTATATCATTAAAAGTCAAGCGTCCGGAAGCAGGACGATTGTTAACTACAATGAGCTCCCGGAAATGACTGTTGAGGAATTTACAGCAATTGCAGATAAGATTGGCTCCACTGCCACTTGGTTTCACTTCGAGGTCTGCGACTTTCATTTTCTGTGAAGCATACAGGATACTCATGTTCAATTTGTAGGGTCGGATACCAGAGGTAACATTGGCATGCATGCGTTATCTACGTCAATGCTATCCTTCAATCAAGATCAGCGTCGAAGCAGAGAAACCTGCGCGGCCCGGTCTCCAGGAGCTTGCGAATGAGGCAGACGTGGTTTTCTACTCGAAGAGCTGGGCTCAGGTATGAGTGCATACTACGACCGTCATAGAGTCTCTCAGACACAGTCTGCTAAACTTCGTCCAGGGGCAAGGCTACGCGTCAGCTGAAGAATGCCTTCGAAAGCAGCGGGCCATGACAACCAACGCGTAAGACAGTCCTTAGGCCTTATCCATGGGGTGCAGTGGTCGACTGATTATACTTCATCAGGTCTTTCCTGTGTTGTACATGGGGAGAAGAAGGAGCTGTTGCTCTAGATACTCAAGCCGATGAATTGTTGCACAGTCCTGCGTACACAGCACCAGACTTTAAGGTCGTTGAGTAAGTGGATAAATCTGAAGGCTTTTGACGGAAATACTGACCAATGCAAGTACTATCGGAGCTGGTGATACATTCATAGCCGGAATGTTGTATGCTTGGCTCTGCCAGGGAAATTGGGATCTCGAGAAGAAGATACACTTCGCGAACCGGGTTGCAGGCATGAAAGTGGGACAGGAAGGCTTTTCTGGTCTGGACAAGGCACTGGAGTCATTTTGAGAACAAAACGTTCAGAGAACGGGCAATATCTGCTTTTACGAGCGTGTATGTCTCATCAACAATGCCGCGTCTGAGGAAAACAAAACTTGGCGATTGGTAGCAGGAATCGTTACAACCGGTGTCAGAAAGAGAGAAATAGTGCTAATCGAGCATGAAATTCGGGAATATATCGACCTCTCGGTATGGGGATGCCAAGAATTTGTAGCTGTGGGTAGTTCACGTGACCTTTTTTACTCCAAAGGCGGTGAACTCTAAAAAAATATTCTGCCTGCATCTTTTCGGTATCCTCGTGGAGCTTTTCTCTGCGACGGTCAGCAATCGAAAAAGCTCAACCGAAATATCCTATTTCAAACATAATGGCTGCCGTTTACAAGACTGTGTCTAAGAAGAAGTCTCGGCAAATTGCCGAAGATCAGGATGAGGTAGACATGGAGATGGAAGATCTCCTCGCTGGAGCCGACGATACAAGCGACAGCGACGAAGACGAAGATGAGCACACTGCGGAAGCGGCCAAGAAGCAGCTGGCCGCTGGATTCATGCCCAAGTCTCGTGTTCTTATGTTGACTTCAAGAGGTGTGACATATCGGTATGTTGAGGATTTCTAGCGAATTCGGACTTACTTTTCAGACACTGACGAGCGATTCTAGCCATCGACACCTGCTCTCCGATCTCTGCGCTTTGCTCCCTCACACGCACAAAGAAAGCAAATTAGATACGAAAAAGAAGACGGCCGGTTACAATCTACTGCTGAACTCCCTCGCAGACCTCCACTCATGCAACGTCATTTTCTTCCTCGAAGCACGCAAGCGCGGTCAAGATTTGTATCTGTGGCTGGCTCGTCCTCCCAATGGACCTACGATCAAGTTTCACCTCACCAACCTGCACACGATGGGTGAATTGAACACTGGATTTAGTGGTAACTGTTTGAAGGGTGGCCGCGGCATTGTCGTTTTCGATCGGTCGTTTGACGAACAGGGTCCGGTTATGAGCAGCCCGGGAAACGAGTACCGCGGATTGATCAGGGAAATGCTGCGTGGAGTTTTCTGTGTGCCCAAGCGTGGTGTCAAGGGCATGAAGCCTTTTATTGACCGCGTCATCGGTGTCTTCGGTGTGGATGGCAAGATCTGGATTCGCGTCTATGAGATTAGAGAGTCCGAAGGTGGAGCCAAAAAGGACGACGAGAACAGCAAGCCCGCGCCCAAGGGCAAGAATGCTCAACCTGAGATCTCCCTCGTTGAGATTGGACCTCGTTTCGTCCTTACGCCAATCGTCATCCTTGAGGGCAGTTTCGGTGGCCCTGTCATCTACGAGAACAAGGAGTATGTGAGCCCCAATCAGGTCCGCAGTGAGATTCGTTTGAGCAAGGCTGCGCGTTACGCGAAGCGTCGGGATGTTCAGACCAACTTGATTTCGAAGCGCTCTACGTTGGGCTTGGCAGAAGGCGAGAGGAAGCCAGGTCCTCTCGACACTAAGAGCCTCTTTTCTTAAAAGCTCTTATGGCCATCATGATTCCGATTCGGTCCACTTGTCGTTTCTGTCTCTTTTCTTCCATCAGCATTAGACTTGATATCCTGAGGGGATGTACATGTGATGCGAGGGTACATTGGTTCGGTCCATTCTACGGCGTCTAGGTGTGAAATATAATTTAAAAGTTTCATATGCTCTTCATCCTTGTGGCTGCATTCCCAAATTCCGGTAAAGATATGGGACATTGTATGCTACATAGACTTGTTTGTTGCGCGTCAGAGAATTGAACGGATTTATTCCCCGAAAAAAGGATATCTGTATGGAAACAAGATCATCTGAAGCCATAATGGTTACTCTAAATACTTGACAACATTTCGACCCAACAAGGAATATTGGTAAAGCAAGGGGCGCTGATTAGATAAGCGGGGGGTATAGTTATAAACCGGGGTTGGACGTCCTGTAGAGAGATACTCCGACTCCAACTTTCTCCGTCCACCATCATGGCGGCGCATTTGCCATCCAGTCGTTCGCGGCTGCGGGATACTCGTTTTGCATCACCTACGATGTTCCTCAGTATGCTCGCTCTAAATCAGATCTCTTCCACTTCTGTCAGCCCCAACGGCGGGGTTTGCACCTAAATACAAACCCTTGTTTGCGACGGCGGCGGCGTTGACTCATTGATATCACGACGCTGTCAAGGTTGACGCTTCTCCGGTCTTCAAGCGTACCGGTCCGTAAATTTTAAGAAGTTTTCTAGTAGGTACTTCTGAAATTACACGCTGCTGTTCCCATCCGCTGTGCTGACATATTACTTGATAACAGAATATATCACCCTATCGATGGATCGCCTGGCGACGGAGCTCTTGCTCCATATATTTTGTTCCTGCGAGAGCGTTTCCGATGTTCTCAATCTTGCATCGACCTGCCGAAGGCTTCGCCGTGTATTCAACCAATCCCACAAGCTGCAAATTCTTATTGATGTCGCGGAATTCGAGTATGGACCTCTAGACGAGATCGTCCAGCTCGTTACACATAACGCAAGTCAACCAGCACACATCCCCCGCCGAGTTCCCGTGTCCGAGTCCCTTCTCCGACAGGTAGTGCAGGTCGGACTCGTCGCACGGAAATGGGAGGCGATCTACCCGGTCAAGAAATGGAAGGTCGACTTCGAGAATCGGCGATCCCTGACTGACGATGAACGGTTTCGGTTGCGCCGTGCTATTTATCGCCTTTGGCTATATCATCGCGCTTTCCATACTTTCAACTTCGATCGTTTCTCGCGTAAACTTCGGCATGTCATTTCTGAGCGTGCACAACTTCTGCACAACTGGTCCACAGTCGAATTGGCAGAGGTTGAGGACATTCGGCTGATCATCACCGACATTGTGCAAAATCATATCTGTCCCAGCAACGGGACTATCCAGCGGAAGTTCCGCAAGCGGTATCCCGAGAGCAATCACCAGCTATCATTCAATATTCATCTGAACTATCCGAGAACGAGTACCCCTGCAGGACTACCCGAATGGCCTGACAAGGCCGACCACACAGTCAACCATTACTTCTATTCCGCTCATCCTTCAAATATCACGGAATCACCAGCAAAGTATAGATCGAGGTTTCGCAATGACTTCTTTCACGACCCCGGCTTCGAAGGATGGGGAGACGAAATTCCACATTATTACGTAGTCCAGGACATGATGAAGCTTGACCCCGGGCAGGTCCTCTGGTTGCGCGAACACGCGCCCATGAAAGAGCAAGTTGAAGCCTTCATACGGTCCTTGGGCGATTGGTTTCGCGATAACGGAGAGACATTCGGAGATACTCTTCAGTGGGTGATGAATGAGCGCGGTGATGACATGGAGGAGTTTCGGGCTGCTATAGCAGATCGGGAACTGGGGATCGTGTGGCCTTAGTTCAATTTAGACTATGTCATGTTTAGCATTAGAGATTACAGAGTTGAAGTAGTTGAGGTACTCCATATATCAGGTGCTCTATTCGAGGTGTCAATGCACGAAGCAATACGGAGTACCGAATGTCCAACAACGCTAGTAAACCTAAACCATCGCAGATCCATGTAGACACGTGAGACCTTCCCATCAAGTCATACGTATCTCCTGATAATAATATCCTAGCCTCGCAAAATATATCTAGCGCCTCTTTGCCCAACATGACAGTTGGCACTTGACACCGAGGCTATCCGCATCTGGAGACGAACATCCGAGTCTGGACTTTCCCAGCCTCTGACCGACTCGCTTACACCACCCCTGAGAAGCGAAACGAACGCGCCAACCTCACTCTAGATAAGTTAGAAGGGTCATGAAACTCGAGCTAACTAGTCAGACTTACGCGCACGAATCAGCAATGCGTGGGTGGGGAGTCAGCTATGGACTAGAATCCTGTCTTAGTCAAGGGCTTAGTGTCGGGATCCGGGTTGAAGCTTGAAGTGAAATTCGCTTTTGTCGCGGATGATAATAAGCTTCAGTGGCGAGTGTGGACTGCTATGATTGCCCTGGCAATAGCCTACTTGAGGTAGTGTATTCTGATTATAGAAGGCGAGGACAGAAGCTGTCAGCGGGGGAATTCCAGAGTTGTGCATTGCTTACTGGCGTTGCGTGGGTCGCTCCACTGTGTAGAAAGGTGGAGCCTAGGTCCACAACATGTCGATGCTAATTTACAGTTTAGTCTAGCCAACAGCTGAGGCTCACGAGTCGCAACGAAAGTCGAAGTTGTAATTGCGGTTCAAAATGCCCCGATAATTGATATTTTGTTAGAATTGAGAATTGCGAGGCAACGTTGCAATGACCATCTGAATCCATATCGCCTGACCAATGATTGCATACAACCCACCCATCCTCATCGACGCCTGTGACCAGCACAACCTTCAAACGACCATCATTGTCATGCCAAGGACAAGCGAACGGGAAGGGATGAGGAACCTAACGAAACAAAGCCGCGAAAGACAAGAGCAGAAAAAGGAAAGTGTCCAGAAGAAAGAAGAGTCAATTTCGTAGTTAGGGCGAATAAGGACAAAAAAAGGGGATAGAAGAAGTCGACAACATAATGTCCTGGGAGTAATGATCGCCTACAGTGCCCATGTCCCTGAATTGCCGTTCCCAACGTTCCTCTTGTGTATCATATCCGTGGAGGCTAAGTAACAGACAAAAAGAAAGACCAAGACCATTCAATTATCACATTGCAGAGTAAAAAGTCGTTCCGACAGGCGTGGCTTCCCTTACAGCAGCAAATTCGGCGATTTCTAACAGCAGCCTTGCTTCGACTCAGTATCCGGAGCCTTGCTGACTTCAATCGTGCGGCCACTGCTGAGGGGGGCTTGTCCGGAGTCACCATTATCCAAAGCCTTGCTGGAGACGATGCGGTAGATTTCTAGCAACATGTGAGTCCAGTGGGACAAGGGGTCAGGAATAGAGAGAGCGAACCTGTGAGGATGTTTTGGAAGGCAAGCTCAACATTGCTTGCGTCGAGCGCAGATGTTTCGATGAAAGAGAGGTTGTTCTCGCCTATTGTGTTCCGAG